ATGCAGTGCAGTAATCTATCAAGGATTCTCCAAAAGCACATTAAAGGAAAAGCCTCATTTTTACCCTAGAAGGACAAAAGAAGCAGATATTTGGGAATAGCACCAACTGCAAGTTCTCCTTTGAGACACACACCACCTTGACCTGGAAACATGTCATCATTCCTTCACTGTCACTGGGAAAATCCTGAAACTCTCTTCCTAACAACACTGCACCTGTTCCCCTAGGAATACACAGGTTCAAAAGCAGATCACTACCACCTACTCCAGGGCAATTAGGGATTCTAATAAATGCTGGTCCAACCAGCAATGCCAATGTCCCATGGCTAATCCACCTAGCCTATCCATCCCTGGACATTATGGGGAAATTTAGCATGGCCAGTCCACCGAATCTGCACACCTTTGGACTGTGGGAGGAAGCCAGAGCACCCAGCAGAAACCCACACAGACACAGGAAGAATGTACAAACTCCACACAGACAGTCAACCAAGAGTGGAATCAAACCCCAGTGCCCTGGGGCTGTGAGTTAGCAGCGCTAACCACTGAGCCACTGCCCAATTAAAATCTGAATGAATGAATCTTTCCAGTCTTTTTATGCTTTTTTAAATTGAGGGTGGAAATGGGGAAGAACTGTTTTACGATTAGTGTTTTAAAGAATTGCTGCATATTTTGAATACCAAGTAACCTGACACTTATGGTAAGCATTGTATAAATAGCTGTCTGAACATACAGGAATTGAAGTGGTTGCAGATTAAACGATAGTGAGGGGGTGTACAGATGCAGTTTCTGTTTATAACAAGAAGTTCATTTGTCTATAGACTACTGACCAGTTGCTAATGACAAATGCTTTTTGCCTGTCAACAACTATGTGTTTGATTCTCAGGTAACTGGATAACCTGGGGCTGGGAACAGATACAGAGAAAATTGTTTTGAACTCCACCAGCTCAGGAGCTGTTTTCTCTGTTCTCTGCAGTCAAAACCCACTTTTAACCTGATGAAAACTAATTTATCTTCCCTTCAGAAATGTTTGTAAGCTGTGACTTCTAACTGATAAGTCAGAGACCTTTTATAAGTGAACCTGCCACCTTGAGTCTCTTACAAAGCAGTGAAAGCATCTGAAGAAAGACAACAGAAGACGACTATACAATGCTGGTCCAAGGTTGTGGAACACTATCTCTAGGACTGCTTGGAATTGATGGACTGGATCGTATTCAAGTACTCAGCAACAAACCCCCAAGATGAGTATGACACCACAGACTTTGTTAGCAAATGTGTGGAGGACTGCATACCAATTAGGTCAACCGGAGTGTTCCCTAACCATAAACTTTGGATGAACAAGGAAATCCACTCCCTACTGAAGACCAAACGATCAGCATTCAAGTTGGATGACCCAGACCAATACAGGAAAGCCAGATGTGACCTTCACAAAGCCATCAGGGATGCCAAGAGGCAGTACCGAACCAAGCTGGAGGCCCAAACCAAGCAGATTCCCGCCACCTGTGGCAAGGCCTAAATAACATCACAGGATACAAAATGAAGCAGAGCAAAGACACATCCCTCCCTGACACACTCGATGCTTTCTATGAACAGTTTGAGCAGAATGCCAGCAGCGTGGTGATGCTTGACCCGATAGCCCCAGGCACATCTGTTCCGTCCATCACTGCTGCAGATGTCAGACCAGTTTTCCTTCGAGTCAGCCCAAGGAGAGCGACGGGCCCGGATGAGAACTCAGATCCCATACGGACCAACTGGAGGAGGTATTCACCGACACCTTCAACCTCTCCCTCCTACAAGCCAAAGTCCCCACCTGCATCAAGAAGACCACTGTCATCCCCATACCCAAGAAAACACATGCAGTGTGCCTTAATGACTACTGCCCAGTAGTTCTGTCCTCAATTATCATGAAGTGCTTCGAGAGGTTAGTCATGGCCCACATCAACTCCAGTCTGCCTCGATCCCCTAGAGTTTGCCTAACGATGGAACAGGTCAAAAGCGGATGACATATCACTAGGCCTGCAGTCATCCCTGGAACATTTGGACAATAAAGACACCTACATCAGACTCCTGCCTATTGACTACAGCTCCCCCTTCAACACCATTAGACCCTCCAGGCTGATTTCAAAATTCCACGACTTTGGTCTTGGCTCAGCCCTCTGCAAGTGGATCCTCAGCTTTCTGACCCGCAGACCATAGTCAGTGAAATTTTTGTCCACAATAACACTCAAACTAGAGCACCGCAAGGATGCGCCCACAGCCCCTACTGTACTCCTCGTACATCCATCACTGTGTTGCTGAATTCAAAACAAATGCCCTCTACAAGTTCACTGATGACACCACCGTAGTGGGACGGATATTTAACAGCGATGAGTCAAAATACAGAAGGGAGATAGAAGCTTGGTGATGTGGTGCAATGAAAACAACCTCTCTCTCAACATTGGAAAAACTAAAGAACTGATCATTGACTTCAGAAAGAAAGGAGGAGAACATACCCCCATCTACATCAATGAAACTGAGGTTGAGAGGGTGGAGAGCGACAAGTTGCTTAGAGTGACGATAACTGGGAACCTGTCCTGGACTGCCCACATAGATGCAACAGTCAAGAAGGCACAACAATGCATCTTCTTCCTCAGGCGGCTCAGGAAATTTTGCATGTCCATAGCGACCCTCACTAACTTCTACAGACACACCATTGAAAGCATACTGTCTGAATGCATAATGGCCTGGTACGACATCTGCTTTGCCCAGGACCATAAGAAACTACAGAAGGTGATGTGTGCAGCCCAGACCATTATGGAAGCCAACCTTCCATCCATGGACTCCATGTACACAGCTCACTGCCACAGAAAAGGGGCCAACATCATTAATTGACCTATTGCACCCTGGTCATGTCCTCCTACAATCTCTTCCAACAGGCAGAAGATATGAAGCCTGAACACACGCACAAGCAGGTTCAGGAACAGCTTCTTCCTGGCCATTATCAGACTGATGAATGGACTCTCTAGCCTCAAGTAATATTGATCTTGCTAACAGTGATCTCGCCTGATGCACGCCCAGTGCAATGTAACCTGTGCATCTCTGTCTAAATCTTTTTGATCTGTCCATGTTGCTTACTATGATCTGCCTGTACAGCTCATAAACAAAGCTTTTCCTTGTACTTTGGTATGCGTGACAATCAATCAATCAATCATAAGCCATCTCCTTCTTTATCAATTTTGTCCCCTGTTCAAGATTCCCCAGAGATGGTGGGATTTTACAATGAGGAAAGGTTGATTTGACTAGACCTGTATTCATTACAGGTTAGAAGGATGAGGGGGGATCTCTTTGAAGCATTAAGGAGCTGGACATATGAGATACCGGGAAGATATTTTCCTTGTTTGTGGAATCACAGTCTCACGATATGGGGTTGGCCGTTTTGGATTGAGAAGAGGAAACAATTTTTCATTCAGAGGGTGGTCAACCTGTGAGATTCGCTACCAGAGAAGTCTAAGGAGGCTGAGTATGTTTAATCAAAGAAATTGATACAGTTTTAGTTCTTAAAGCTATCCAGGTATTTGGAGAGAAAGTGGGGATATTGCGTTGAGATAGAGGATCAATCATAAACATATTGAATGGCAGAGAAGGCCAAATAGCCTACTCCTGCTTCTATTTTCTACAGATTTATATCCAAGGAAACATCTTACCTACACCTTCCTGTCTATCCTTTTAAGTAATTTATAAGTTTCAATGGGAGTACTCTGTGGAGGTCTGATCACCGCACAATAGAATGGATGTGATTGCAGTGGAAGCAGTGCAGAATGTTGCCTGGGATGGAGCAGTTTAGCTATAAAGAGAGGCTGGATAGAGCAGAGTAGGCTGTTGGGGGTACCTGATAGATTATGACAGGCATGGACAATGTGGATAGAAAGCAACTGTTTTTCTTAGTTGAAGGTTCAAATACAAGGGAGCATAATTTTAAGATGAAAGGCAGGAGGTTCAGAGGGGAATTTAAAGAAAACATTTTCACCCAGAGGCTGGTAGTAATCTGGAATGCATTATCTGGGAAGATATCGTAGAATCCCTACAATGCAGAAGCAGGCCATTCAATCCATACCAACCCTCCAAAGAGCACCCCATCCAAAACTAAACCCACCTGCCTACCTACTCTATCATTGCATTCCCATGGCTAATCCACACATCTTTGGACTGTGGAAGGAAACTCGAGAACCCAGAGGAAACTGATGCAAACACAGAGAGAATGTGCAAACTCAATACAGACAGTTACCAAAGGGTGGAATCAAACCCAGGTCCCTGGCACTGTGAAGCAGCGCTGCTAACCATTGAGCCACATGCCACCCCATTGTTGAGGCTGAAAACCTTTAAAAATCACTAGCACGAGCATTTGAAATCCCATAACATTCAAAGCTATGGGCCAAGTGCTAGAAAGTGGAACTTGTGTAGATTTTGAGTAGTTTTTGTTGGTGCAGACTTGATGGGCCAACTTTGAACTGTGTGATTCTATGGTTCTTTGAGATCAGGTCTCATTCTTTGAAACTGTACAGAATACAGGCCCAGTTTGACCAGTCTATCTTCATAGTCCTGCCATACCGCGAATAAGTCTGCGAAACCTGTGTTGCAATCCCACTTTGGAAAAATATCCTTTCTGAGATAACAAAATTAAAACTGTACACAGTATTCCAAGAACAGGATTATTGAGTTTCTATACTATTGAAGCACAACTTCACCGCTCCTGTTCTTAAATCATTTTTCAACAAAAGCTAACAATCTATTAATCTTTTTTATAGCTTCCTGCACCTGCATGTTAGCCTTCAGTGAGTTGTATTTGTTTCACAAGCAAACTGTTTCTGCTCAATTTTGAAACAGCAGTAAAGGACAATGCACATACTGCTAAACAGCCCCTGGGGTATGGAAACTGAAACTAAATCAGCAGGTAAAGTCATCAAGAAGGAGGCAATTGCATGATTAATAAAAATGAATTTGAACAGTAAGTATTACAAAGTACTTACTGTGACCCTGCACTGAGACCGACATGAATGCAGACAGCCAAACATAGAGAGAATTCATTGCTAAATCATCAGAACTTTATCCTTCTTGCCCACAGCTTCTTGTCTTTTTAAACCAGAACAGAGAAGTTACTTCACTTCTGATGTAGCTGTTATGAAATTTTAAAAATTAGTGCACAACATGAACAATAATTGGGAAGCATGAGAGACATAACTGCTTAAAAACTAATGTACAAACCACAGTATGTTGTGAAAGTAGATTCTTTCTTCTATTGATTCACATGATATGAGTATTTCTGGCTGGGCCAGCATTTACTTCCCTTTCCCAGTTGCCCATGTAATGGACAGCATGCTGAATAACCTTCCTAAGCTGCTGTAGTCTCCATGGTGCAGGGACACCCTGATTTGATTTGATTTGTTATGGTTATTTGTACCTGAATGCAGTGAAAAGCTTTCTCTTGTGAGTAGTACAGGCAGATCATAGCAAACAAGGACATACAGATCATAGGGTGCTTAGACAGAGCAGTGAAAGAGCTCCAGAATTTTGATCCAGCGACTTTTTTTAATTTCAAAAATATACTTTATTCATAGAACTATCTTTATGTATATATATACATAGACACGAATGCAGTTTGGTTTTGTATAGTAGCATATGAAGAAACAAACATTGGAGTTGACTCTATCCAGCAAACATATCAAAGGCATTTCTTACTCGTACAAGATTATATCTGCACATATTTGAAGCATTGGAAGGGTCCAATAACTGAAGGGACCCCCATTTAACTTCAGCAGAAAGACCTTAGATAGTGGTCTTTCCCCACTGTGCTTTGTTGGCAGATGCCCCAAGCTTTAGTCAGTCCCTCAGCATGTAGTCCTGAACCTTAGAATGTGCCAGTCTGTATCACTCCAGAAGACCAACACGTTTCAGGCAAACCAAAGAGTGTCTTTCACTGACTTGATGGTCCTCCAGGTGTTTGTCTCGGTGTGCGTCCCAGGGAACAGACCATAGAGCACAAATTTTTGCATCGTCGAACTGCTCAGGATGAACCTCAACAACAGTCACTGCGTCTCTCTCCAGACTTCCTTTGCAAAAGCACACTCCAGCAGGAGGTGTGTGACAGCCTCTACCTCCCCGTAGTCACTTCGAGGTGGTGCAGAGAGTCTGGGCATACATGAAGGATCTCATAGGTAATGCCCTTCTCACCACCAGCCAAACAATTTCTTGGTGCTTGTAGGAAAGTTCTGGTGATGAGGCATCTTGCCTCATGACTTTGACAGTCTGGTCAGGGAAAAACCCAACAGGATCCACCCTATTCTTTTCCCTCAGGGTCTCGAGATTGCTACGTGCTGGTCACTTCCTGATGGACTTGTGGTAAAAGGTGTTTCTCTTTGCAAATTTCTCCATGCAGTTCAACAACTTGATGCGTTCCATGAAGGATTTTGACCCAGTAACACTGAAGGAACAGCGATATATTTCCAAGTCAGGATGGTGAGTGGCTTGGAGGGGAACATGCAGGTAGTTCTCCTTCCAGGTGGTAGTGGTTATGGGTTTGGAAGGTGCTGTCAAAAGAATCTTGTTCAATTCATCAGTGCATCTTGTAGATAGTACACAGTGTTGCTGCTGTGCTCCAATGATAAAGTAAGCTTATGTTAAAAGTAATGCATATTTTTTATTCATTCAACGGATGTGGGCATTGCTGGATGGCCACCATTTATTGCCCATCCCTAGATACCCTTGAGAAGGTGGTGGTGAGCTGACTTCTTGAACTGCTGCAGTCCACCTGCTGTGGGTTGACCCACGATACCATCAGGGAGGAGACTTTGTAGCAATTGATACAACCAAGTGGCTTGCTAGCCTATTTCGAAGGGCCGTTCACAGTCAAACATATGCAGTGAGTCTAGAATCAAAAGTAGACCAGACCAGGTGAGGATGGCATATTTCCTTCCCTGAAGGACATTCGTGAGCCAAATGAGTTTTCCTAACAATTAATAATGGTTTCAAGGTCATCAGTAGATTCTTAATTCCAGACATTTTTATTGAATTCAAACTCCACCATCTGCCATGGCAGGATTCGAACCTGAGTCCCCAGCTGAGTTTCTGGATTAATGGTCGAGAATAAAACCAGTAGGCCATTGCCTCCCCCTTCGGTGCTAATCAAGTGGAATGCTTTGTCCTCTTTGGTTTTGAACATCTTGAGCATCATTGAATATTACATTACACTTATGACTTGTTCCTTGTAGATGATGGGCAACATTTGAATCAGGTAAGTGACTTGCTACAGATTTCCCAGCCTCTGCACTGCATTTGTCCCAATAGTTTTTATGCTGATTAGTCTGTTTCTGGCTAATGCTAAATTCACTGATGGCAATACCATTTAACATCAAGGAAGATGGTGCGATTCTCCCTTCTGAAAGGTGGTTATTCACTGGTAGTGAATGTTGTCCAGGTGGCACTGCATCTGTACATAAACCCCTTCAGTCTCTGAGGATTCATGAATGGCACTAAACACTGTGCAATCATCAGCAAACATTACCACTCTGACTTTATGATGGAGGGAGGGTCACTGATGAAGCAGCTGAAGATGGTTGGGCGAAGGTCACTACTGTGAGGAACTCCTGTGGACATGAGTGATTGAACTCCAACAATCAGAACCATCTTTCCTTGTGCTGGGTCTCAGTCAAATTAGTGGAGTATTTTCCTTGATTCCAATCAAATCTGTTTGTTTTTCTAGAGCTCCGTGATACTGCATCAGCTTCTGCTTTCATTCTCAGAAATTTCATCAGACTCTAACTCTTGAGGCAACAGTTTCTGTTTCACTGTGAGCATTAATCATTCCTGTGGCATGTAAAAGGAATAGGTAAGATATGGAATAAAGTATCTTCTTCATGCTCCCATCAAACATTCCAGGAATACATCCAGAAGGGGTAATAAAATAATATGTTACTTACAGAGTAGATTATATACTTATATATATTGTTGGAGATGATATGCATTCAACTGCAGGAACCTGTTCACTGTCAATACAAGTAGTGAGATCAAGGGCTGAATCTTATGTTTCTTTTTAGCTAAGTGCTCGTTTTTTCAAATTGCATGGAAGGATTCTCACCACAAGGCCCAGTGAGATCTCTTTCCATATAGAACATAGAACTGTACAGGACAGGAATGGGCCCTTCACCCACGATGTTGTGTCAAACATGGCACCAAATTAAACTAATCCCTTCTGCCTGCCCTTGGTCCATATCACTCCATTCCATGCATATTTATGTGCTTATATGAAAGTCCCTAATGAAACTCATCCCATTAGCGACCTACCCCTTCCCAAGATACCCCTCTCACTCGATTCTAACCCATCAACCAGGCACTGTTCCCAATACAACTCACCACTTCCAGATATTAACTGAAATTATCCAGCATCCCTGCACTGGTACAGTTGTTAAAGTGCTGTTGTGCACATGGCAAACACTGTCAGAGCCACGATATTGATGGCAGGACAGGAGATGCGTTGCTGCTGCAGCGTGTGGAAACTGCTGGACACCAATGTGATCGAGGGTGAACACATCTGCAGTAAGTGTTTATAGCGTGAGAAATTTTAGAAAAGAACAGAACAGAATAGAATAGAATATCCTTTATTGTCACTTGTACTATAGTACAGAAGTATACGAGTACAGTAAAAAGGTTTTACAATGGCTGCCTTTTAATGGTATCATCGAAGGTGCAAGTAGCTAGGTACAAATCCTAAAAAGTGTAAAAAAGTGTTCTTATACAAAGAGGATTAAAGGAAAGCATAATCATTAAATACAGAGGTAGTTGCAACATAGTGAAAAGGCTTTAAGTTACAGTCTGATAACAGCAGCTCAGCACGTGGTGCCAGGCCCAAGTCCAGCAATTGTCCCGCATCGCTCCAGCTTCCAGCCCGCTCCTCACCGGCACTCAACATCAACAAGGTACGTTGCACTGTATCGGGATTCGTACCTCAGCCCCTTCGTTGCTCCGGGACTCGGCATCTCAATCGCTCCGGGTCTCGGCCCCTCTGTCGCTTCAGGGTCGTGGCTCCATCGTCGCTATGGGACGCGGCCTCTCTGTCACTCCGGGGACTCGCCCCAGCCCACGCTCAATTCAGCCTGTGCTCACTCTGCTGCCCCTGCAGGACAAGGCCCCCGCACTCAGCTCCCGCCCATCACCGGTCTCGACTTGACTCCTTTCTTCAGGTAGGGATAGTGAAAGGTTGGGTGGAGGGGCTGGGGGAAAAGATACGGCAAAGAGGAGAGAGAAAAAACGAAGGGAAAAGGAAACGGAAAAGAAACTGACTTCAGATCTGAGTTGAAGAACTGGAGTCTGGGCTGCAGACAATACACAGCATCAGTGAAGGGGAAGGGTATCTGGACACTTTGTTCCAGAAGGAGATCACGCCCCTTGGACTCAGTCATTCAAATTTGATCTGTGATCAGGGGCAGGTAGGTAAGAGCAGATGTGGCAGGTATGAGGATCTAGTGGGTTGCAATTGAGAAGCCTCAGCACCTTCAATTATCCAACAATAATGAGGTTCTTGCAAACTGTACAAACAAGAGTGTGCGAATTGACTTGGTACAATGAGCCATTCAAGTGATGGGAGGAAAAAGAAATATAGCAGTAGTAGGAGACTGTATAATTAGAGGGATAGATGCTATTCTCTACAGCTGTAGGTGCAAGTACCGAAGGCTATGAAGCTTGCCCAGTACCAGGGTTAAGTTCATTCCCTTAGGGTGAGAGAAGAACTTGGAAGGGGAGGGGAAAGATCAAGCTGTCATCATCCACATTGGTAGCAGCAATATTGATCAGACTAGAAAAGAGGTTCCACTGAAAGAATTTTGTCAGGAGCTAAATTAAAAAGCGGAACTTCAATGGTGATAAAATCTAGATTTCTACCTGAGCCATGAACAAACTGACATAACGTAAATAGTGTCAAGGAATTAACTGCATTGCACTGTGGGTGGAATGGGTTTCAGTTCCGGGGGTACTATTCTGGGGTGGTTTTGTTGGCGGAATCTGGAGGGCGCGGTGTGTAGTGCGGGGGTGGTGTTTGCCTTGAACAGTCCTAGAATTATGTCCTGGAAAATCCCA